ATGACATAGACACTTGGGGAACTCTGATGGCACAGAGGGTGTGCGAGTGTACACTGCTCCTTAATTGCCCCCTCTCCTCTCCGGCTACTGTCCTTTTCCTGGACTCAGGGTCTGTCCCAGGTAGCCACGTGGCACACTGCCACAGCAGGGGAAGCAATCACGTGTGGAAATGACACTAGACGGGAAAGAGGCCACACACGAGCACCGGGGCCTACTGCGAAGGCGGGGCTGCCCTCCCCGTCACCCGAGGAAGGCCCTAGTCCCTGCTGCCCTTTCTCGTAAAAGACTTGCAGACTTACGAGACCGTCCACACAGCAAACCTCAGAAAGGTTCCGGAAAGCCCTCAGTTCGGCCCCGGGGAGGGAATGTACCCTCATCGCCAAGCTCTTCCTTGCCCTGGGAGCAAACCCTTCTCTCTCGCTGCACTGGGCCCCGCCAGTGGACGAGCACCTCCCGGCACAGTCTAAAGACCGCCTGTCCCCCGAAGTTCACGGATACTTGACTCAGCCCCAGGGAAGATTTTTTTTCCCTTTGGAAGACCCCAGTTCGGCCTCAGAGGTGGAGCTGGGTGGACCCCCAAGACAGGCACAAGATGGCACATGTGTTTCTGCAAGGAGGCGCTGGGACGTCAAAGGTTTCCTGGCACCAGGAACCAGCAGGAACAGGGCCCGCACTTGCGAGGGGAGCCGCCTGGGCCGTTCTCTGAAACCCGTTTTGTCAGTCGAGTCTCAGGACATGGCGGAACTCTGTCCTGAAGCCCTCGTGAGTGGGTGGGCTGTCGTGAACTGTCGTGAGCAAAGCAGAGCTTCTACTCCTGAGGTTTTCAAAGATCACATGTGAAAATAAGAACTTGTTGGCCAGCGTTCACAGCAGCGCGTCTTTCCCTGAACACACGCACACACACGCACACGCGCACACACGCACACGCACGCACACGCACACAGGCACACGCGCACGCACACATGCGCACACACACGTACGACCCAGGTTTTCCGTCATCCTACATTCACAGCGTGCTGTGAGGGACCCCATCGCAGCCACCGACTGCCCCCGAGGGCTGACCCCACCGCTGCGTGGTACTGAGCTAAGGCGGAAACACCAGGCATGGAATATCCAGGTTTCAGAATACTTTAATGTCCATTTCTTCAGTGGGTGCACTTTGAAATCATTAGAATTAACCATTTAAAAGGAGCAGAGCAAAAGAAATTCGGAAAATGCAGACAGGGAGTTCTTACTAATTTAATCTCAGATTCTAGGCATGGTTTGATTTTCGAAACAACCAATTGAAAATTGCTTACCTCAAAAATCTAGAAATCCCAGGGCAGACACATCTCTGGAAGCTACCAGGGACTGTCCTGCAGATCAAGGGACTCAGTTCGGTTCCTGAAACCCTACGCAGCATCCAGCGTGGACAGGGTTGGTGTTGACGTGCATTTTTCAGGAGCCCCAACTTTCATCTAATTAGCAAAAGCTTTGTGAGCACAAAAGGAAAACAGTAGGAGTCACTGCTTTTGAGAGCGAGATTCCAACAGGCACTGAGACTTTAATTCGCTTCTTCAGACTTTTGGGCCCGGCAGGAATATGGGAACTCCCCAGTTAAATGACTAATTCTCAGTACCAACTCTTCGGAGTCACTGGGTGAGAAAGACGTCTACCGAGGAAGCGTATGACATAGACACTTGGGGAACTCTGATGGCACAGAGGGTGTGCGAGTGTACACTGCTCCTTAATTGCCCCCTCTCCTCTCCGGCTACTGTCCTTTTCCTGGACTCAGGGTCTGTCCCAGGTAGCCACGTGGCACACTGCCACAGCAGGGGAAGCAATCACGTGTGGAAATGACACTAGACGGGAAAGAGGCCACACACGAGCACCGGGGCCTACTGCGAAGGCGGGGCTGCCCTCCCCGTCACCCGAGGAAGGCCCTAGTCCCTGCTGCCCTTTCTCGTAAAAGACTTGCAGACTTACGAGACCGTCCACACAGCAAACCTCAGAAAGGTTCCGGAAAGCCCTCAGTTCGGCCCCGGGGAGGGAATGTACCCTCATCGCCAAGCTCTTCCTTGCCCTGGGAGCAAACCCTTCTCTCTCGCTGCACTGGGCCCCGCCAGTGGACGAGCACCTCCCGGCACAGTCTAAAGACCGCCTGTCCCCCGAAGTTCCCGGATAC